CCCAAGCTGACCATCCGGACATTGGCTGTTTAGATAAACTTTGAGACATCATCAGAAGTCATTATAATGTGATAAACTATGAGATATCATCTGAAGTCATTATAATGTGATAAACTAGGAGACATCATCAAAAGTCATAATCAGACAAAAATTTAGAATTTATTTATTGGCATTATAACAAATTTTAATATTGCTACTATCTCGTTTTATCCCATAATTAAATTACACCTTATAAAAAACATAATCAAAGTGATCAATTCTTTTATTCATTCATAATTTGAATTTTAATGTGCCTTTTAAAATTCACAATATTAAGCTTTTTGATTTTTCTTTGCATAATTTTCAGTTTTTTTATTTCATGATTATGACTTATCTAATTTTTAACATTTCTATCACATAATTTGGATGTTTTGGACCTTTTATATCATAAATAAGACTTTATCTCATAATTTTAATAATTAACTTTAACAATTGAACATTTTATTAATGCATTTTGACTTTTGTCAGACTTTTTAAAGGTTTTTGTATTGTAAATTTCCTGTCATAAATCTGACTTAATTAAATATGTAATATCTCATAAATTATTTCATAAATTGGGATTTGTCATACTGACATAATGTTAACTCTTATGCCATAAATTAATAAATTTAATCTCATAGTTTCAGCTTTTTTACATAATTGACATTTGGGTCTCATAACTCAACTGACTTTATCTTATATTTCCATGCCATAATAATGAATTTTATCTCATAATTATAATTGTAATTTATTTATTATTTAAGTAGCTAAAGCATTAGCTTAGAAACCAAAGTTAAATACAGTCATTATGAACCATTATTATTATAAATGTTTTATTTAAATATACAAATAACAATATAAACCCAGGGTTAACAAACGTACACTAGTAAAATAACAAGACAAAAACAAAATGCTGCTAAACTGTGAAATTTATTTCCCATTTCTCCTGCAGCTTTTACTGGGATTTTATGTTTTACTTTTTTATGTCATGATCGTGACTTTTATCTCATAATTATGCTTATTTTTTACATCTTAATGCATAATTATAATTTACTAGTATAAGAATTAGTTTATACAATCACGCTTTATTTCGATGGTCCGTTTGTTGAATTTAAATTGGATTGCATCTGCATGCCAACTAATTCTCATTAGATTATAAGTAGACGATTGTGGTTGGGGTTAGTGTAAGTTGACATATACTTGCAAAGTTTCTAATAGTCAGTTAATGTCTGTTAAAGGAGCAGTATCAAGAGATATTAAGCAGACAGTCTACTAATACTCAAATGGACCATCAAAATAAAGTGTTACCGTTTATATTAAGAATTGAAGCCTTATTATAAAGTGTTAAACATAGCCAACATAAATCCTGGGCTTACAAACGTACACTAGAAAAATCACAAGACAAACACAGAACGCTGTTAAATTGCGCAATTTATTTCCCATTTATCCTGCAGGTTCTACTGGGATTTCGTCATATATTTTTCATATCATAATAATGACTTTTATCTCAAAATTATGATTACTTTTTGCTAAACTTTCAGTTTCCTGCCATGATTATGACTTTTATCTCATTTTTAAAACTTTTCTATCGCATAATTTGGAAATTTTTGGACTTTTTAAATCATAATTAAGACTTTATCGCATAATTTCAATTATTAACTTTAACAATTGATCATTTTATTTAAGAATTTTGACTTTTATCAGACTTTTTAAGGTCTCTGTATTGTAAATTTCCTGTTATAAATCTGATTTAATTAAATATGTATTATCTCATAAATTGAGCTTTGTCATATTGACATAATGTTTACTCTTAGATATGATTACTTTTTACTTAAGACATAATTATAATTTACTTATAGTTAATGCCTTAGCTTATAAAGAGGTAAACAAAGTGCAAACTGAGTCATTATAAACCAATAGTATTATTACCCATATAAATCTGCAAGTAAACCCAGGGCTTATAAGTGTACACTAGTGACATCACAAGATACAACACATAGTGCTGCTACATTATGCAATTTCTCTCCCATTTTTCCTGCAGATTCTACTGGGATTTCACCATGCTTCTCTTCATGGTGGGCAACCTGATCATCATCCCTGTGGGCATCACTTTCTTTAAAGACGAGACCACTACGCCGTGGATCATCTTCAACGTGGTGTCCGACACCTTCTTCCTCATGGACCTGGTGCTGAATTTTCGCACAGGCATCATCATAGAGGACAATTCGGACATCATCCTGGACCCCAAGACCATCAAGAAGAAGTACCTGAAGACCTGGTTTATAGTGGACTTTGTGTCATCAATCCCGGTGGATTATATCTTCCTGATTGTGGAGAAGGGCATCGACTCAGAGGTGTATAAGACGGCACGAGCGCTGAGGATTGTGCGCTTTACTAAAATCCTGAGCTTGCTGAGGCTTCTGCGGCTCTCGCGGCTCATCCGCTACATCCACCAGTGGGAAGAGGTACAGTACAAACTCATACTGCACACTCAAAGAAATGACTTATTAATGTAGTCAAATGTAATAAATGTACTCTCCTGCTGGTGATTAATCATTAGTAGAGTATATAACCGGCGCACGCTATAAGATAAAAGTCATTATTATAAATACATTTAAGAAATATGAGATAAATAGTCATAACCAGACCCATCCAGAATCTGCGCCCATAGCAACCTGCAGATGTTTGAGCCTTGTTTTTGCATTAAAATAAATGATTGGCTAATTTGCAAATTTTTAGACATGATGATGTAAAGGTAAAAACTATGAGATGCCATAAGAAATTATTATAATGAGATAAAAACTTGGAATTGTTACATAAATTGTCATAATTGTGGCATTAAGTCAATTATGAGATAAAAGCTGCCATTTTAGAAAAAAAAATTAAAAAAATTATGAAATCATCAATCAAAAATATGAGATATCATCAGAAGTCATTATAATGATAAATTATGAGATATCATCAGAAGTCATTATACTGAGATAAACTATGAGATATCATCAGAAGTCATTATAATGAGAAAAAATATGAGATATCATCAGAGGTCATTATAATGATATATATCATCAGAGGTCATTATAATGATATATATCATCCGAAGTCATTATAATGAGATAAAATATGAGATATCATCAGAAGTCATTATAATGATAAACTATAAGATATCATCAGAAGTCATTATAATGAGATAAAATATGAGATATCATCAGAAGTCATTATACTGAGATAAAATATGAGATGTCATCAGAAGTCATTATAATGATAAACTATAAGATATCATCAGAAGTCATTATAATGATAAACTATAAGATATCATCAGAGGTCATTATAATGAGATAAAATATGAGATGTCATCAGAAGTCATTATAATGATAAACTATGAGATATCATCAGAGGTCATTATAATGAGATAACGTTTGACATATCATCAGGAGTCATTTCAAAGAGGTAAACTATGAGATATCATCAGAAGTCATTATAAAAAGAAAAAATATAAGA